GCGCGAGTCACTTTTGTAGAGAAACCTGGAACATGGAATGGAGCTGGAACAGGAATCAAGGAGGACAATATCCTAACCAGGACAAGGACAGAAAACCATCAGCAGGACAAACTCCAGCTGCAGGCGGACAAATAGACTCCAGTACAGCTTACCAACGTACTCTGCAGTATGTTAAGAACTGCCAGAGTTGGTCAAGTCCTGAGTATCCTCCACAGGATCAGAAAGACACAAAACTAAAACGGCCTTCGACTGAATCCCAGGCCATGCCGCCTCCTAGCATACCACAAATGCCCACCCAGCACGTGCATGCCAATGGAATGCCCAACGGCATGCAGCCGATGGTGAGTATGCCAATGAACGGTATAACAGGCATGGTGGTTAAGCAGGACAATATGGTGCTGGGGGACATGAATAGCTCAATGAATCAGTTAATGGAAGAGAACAGATACCTACAAATGTTACACTGAAGATCGGATGCCATTTTGAAAATGATCCGCCATTTTGAAGATTAGCCGCCATTTTTTAAATAATCCGCCAAACTGAACATGAGCCGCCATTTTTAAAATGGGCTGCCATTTTTATAAATAGTCTCCTTTTTTCCCATTATCTCTCTCCATACTCTATAAAAAGTGATCTCGACACGTGCCTTTCAAAGAGTTTAAAGACTTTCAACTCTGTTCATTATAGTTGCCATATATCTTACCCTTTTCTAGTAAAATTATTATTATTATTATTATTGTTGCATTTGAAAGTGTATATTTGTCCATATTTGTTTAACATGCTGTTTGAATATATGTATAGATTAGTAAAAATGAAACCTGTTAAATACTCGGCAAATATACTTTTTATCTTCATTGTTGTTATAAATAAACTCTTCCCATGGAACATTTGTTGTCTTTAAGTTTATTTTATTTTTAAAAGCCTTCTGAAGAATCTGAGATGTTTAAACTATTTTAATAGTGTTTGCTCGACAAGTTTTAATAGTGTTTGCTCGACAACTTTTAATAGTGGTTGCTCGACAAGTTTTAATAATGTTTGCTCGACAAGTTTTTATAGTGTTTGCTCGACAAGTATTTATAGTGTTTGCTCTACAAGTTTTAATAGTGTTTGCTCGACAAGTTTTAATAATGTTTGCTCGACAAGTTTTAATAGTGTTTGCTCGACAAGTTTGCTTGACAAGTTTTAATGTGTTTGCTTAACAAATAGTGTTTGCTCAACAAGTTTTAATGTGTTTGCTCGACAAGTATTAATAGTGTTTGCTCGACAAGTATTAATAGTGTTTGCTTGACAAGTTTTAATAGTGTTTGCTCGACAAGTTTTAATAGTGTTTGCTCAACAAGTTTTAATAGTGTTTGCTCGACAAGTATTAATAGTGTTTGCTCAACAAGTTTTAATGTGTTTGCTCGACAAGTTTTAATGTGTATGCTCGACAAGTATTAATAGTGTTTGCTTGACAAGTTTTAATAGTGTTTGCTCGACAAGTTTTGATAAATTCTTTTTAAAATACAATTTTTTTTATCAAGAAATTATCTGATGTGATTAAAACAAACTATTAGTGAATTAAATTTGAAATGTGTTCAACATCTGAGATTCTATCATAGCACCTATAAAGCAAAAAATTACCCCAAAATGCGTTGTTAGAGGATTTTTCCACAAAGATCAGGTTAATCAGAGGTCACTTCTCGTTTTTCATTAAATATGAACCTGGATATTTGAAAAGTAAATTTATTCTTTATAAAAATACTTTACTCCAAGTTTCTTGAATGAACCAATTTGTCAACGAGATAAAGATTAAGGAAGGATACACTTAGGACAAGAAAATTGTGAAGTATGAAGACGACATTTAGATAATAAATAAAGTGTTTTTGATGTTTTTGCAAAGCGAATAGTGTATTAGTAGCTTAATATCAATTATAATTTTTGGTCTGTGCACACCGCACAATTGTTTAGTCTCGGACTTTTAAAACCATACATTGAGTCTAAAAGTCGTCTTCATTTTCCAGAGTTTTCTGGTTCTCACAGAATGTGTCCGAACATGGTTATGCTAGAGCTAGGAACACCTTATAGATAAGATCTTAAATTTATAAAGTAGATTATTCATGTGTATTTTAAATTAAATTTTCTATTCCTGCTTTTAACAGATACTAAACTGTCGCAGGTATTAAAATGTCGTTTTCCAATATTTTTGTCCTAAAATACATTTCGACAATAATTTTAGATGAACTTTAAAAGTTAGATAATTTTTGAGATTAGGTAAAAACACTTCGCCCTCGACTTTAGTCCACATTAGGACTAGATGCTAATTCTTGAACAGGGTGTCTCAAAAAACATGGGAAGTCAGTGAAGAATTGGATATCGTTTTTGTTATGAATTAGCATTGTAATACCTAATTTCTAAAGCCATAATATTACTATATCTGCTAGAGTTTATTTAATGAAAACGGTAAATGGCTGTAAAGATGTGTCTATAATGTCTCCGCAAGATGAACAGTGAAGACGGACAAATTGACTCTGTTTGTTTACTGCAATTTTCTTGTTTTACTAAGTACACCCTTATGCAGTCAAAGCATAAACAAACAAAATGTGAACATAGCAGACGAAACTCTTACAGATTACAGCTTCCTCAGTAGGTATCACTTTACTAAATCAACGAATTATTTAAAAAGACGAGCTAATTCGTCACTGAATTCCCATGTTTATTGGGACACCCTACAATTTTAATTTAAATTCAATTACGTTTTGGTCAATAATTTAACAATCTTTAAACTTACATAGGTTTGTAACAAATTCAAGAAAACACGAAGACGATTACTACTGTGTAGCGAAGTTGACCGCGGAAGATTCACAATACTATAATACTATATCCGCTCCAAATGTGTCTCCTCATAGTTTTCAGAATCTTTTTTTTTAATTATTAAATAACCATTGAGTCTAAAAGTCGTCTTCATTTCCCAGAGTTTTCTGGTTCTCACAGAAGGTGTCCGAACATGGTTATACTAGAGCTGTAAAGTAAACTCTTACAGATTACAGATTTCTCAATAGGTATTATTATACTAAATCAAAGAATTGTTTAAAAAGACGATATCGAAATCGTCACTGAATTCCCATGTTTATTGGGACACCCTGTACAAGAGCTGTAGAGTTTTGGGGATTCTCAATATTAATAGGAACACCTTATTGTTAAGATCTTAAATTTATAAAGTAGATTATTCATGTGTATTTTAAAGTAAATTTTCTATTCCTGCTTTTAACAGATACTAAACTGTGTCAGGTACTAAAATGTCGTTTTCCAATATTTTGTCCGAAAATGCATTTCGACAATAATTTTAGATAAACTTTAACAGTTAGATAATTTTTGAGAATTGGTAAAAACACTTCGCCCTGGAATATAGTCCACATTAGGTCTAGATGCTAATTCTTGTACAGGGTGTCCCAAAAACATGGAAATTCAGTGACGAATTGGATATCGTCTTTGTTATGAATTTGCATCGTAATACCTTTTTTCAAAAGCCATGATATTATTAAGTCTGCTGGATTTTATTTGATGAAAAGGGTAAAAGATGTGTAAAGATGTGTCTATCATGTCTCCGCAAGATGAACAGTGAACACGGACCAGGGGGCAGAAACGTCATGTGTGTGTGTCTGTATCAAAAGAGTGTGTGTCAGTTTACTGTACCAAAGGTTTGTACTGTAGGTTTATACAGTACGTAAGAATCTCGGGATTTGTACAGTCTAGGAGAGTACATTTGTTTATTGTTAATTGTTTACTTAAACATATGTTTAATATACATGTAATATATTATTTACATATTTAAGTCAACACTATAAAGCCAAATTTTCATGCAAAGAATATAATTTTATTAAAGTTTACAATAAACTACTCGTTATTCAAATTTANCTTAGTATAAGTTACTATTTGCTTTTAACATTATCAATTACACTTATTTATTGCGTTGAATCGTCTTCTTATTGCACTGTTTTCTGCTTCTCACTGTACACTGCTCACTTTGGTTTATATATATATTTATATATATCAATCAACAAGCATCATCTTTTAAATATTGTGATAAAGCTTAATATTTCTAAGCAGGTTGGGTCTGCGCTGTTCTGTTCCTGTCCTGGATAGATTTTAACGCGGCCTGCTCTGAAATCACGTGGGCTGATAGACGGTATTTTATTCGCCCGGATGTTGATCTGTCTGAATTCCCAAAGTGCAAGGTATTAATTTCTATAAGTTTTTGAAAACTTCGCAAAAAAGTGAGTTTTTGGCACAAAATAAAGGTTTGTCATTGGAAAAGTGTTGGGAATTTTTTATTCAGGGTTTGACGCTGCTCAGGGCACTCCGAGAAATTATGATATTTTGTTTAGTTTTCGCTAACTTTTTTGTGCCATTTAATTCCCACCAGTTTTTTCAAAACGCTTATTTATTGTTTTAAATTATTAATATTTTTCCTTAGAAGACCTAACATTTAAAAAGATTAAAAAATTGCTGAAATTCTCTGGAAATTATTTTTTCAACTTTAGAAAACACAATGGTGAAAACTGAAGCTTTGTTTTCATTGTTAAATATTTAATGTTGCAGCAGTTGAAATGAGTTTACAGGATGAACATTGGTCTACAGTGCGCATACTACAGGGTGAACATATCACATTTGAAATGTTGCAAGTAGGGGCGTATACAGCTGATATTGTAAACCTCCCCTCCCCCTCCTGGAAAAGGGAATTCAGCCTACTCCCCTCCTGAATGTCAAAAAGTGAAGTCCTCCATGAACAAATTTCTATATACGCTCCTCATTGTAAATAGTCAGTTTCAAGAAACATGAGAAAAAAAACTACGCTTCGTGCTTTCCTATTCATAATTTTAGCTTTGAACTCTAAAAGTTGTCATATATTACTTGGTCTTTGATCAGAAATTCCTATACATTTAAAGGGACTGTAAGCGCAATTTCAAGTTACCTTCCATGCAAAGATGGCAATGCCTAATTCACAACGGTGCCCTTGAAACCTTTATCTGATCAATATTGTGGAAAATATTGCTGTTTTTCTAAGTTAAAAAGTTTTTATTTCTGATAATTCCTATCTGTTTTCCTGCAGTAGAAATGCGCGAGTCACTTTTGTAGAGAAACCACAATTAAAAATAATCAGCTTTTAACATTATGAACATAGATAACTAATTCATACTTGATCAGACAAAGGTTTTAAGGGTATCGTTCTACAG